CGACCCCACTTAGTGGGATAAAGGTTTGCTGTTGTTCTGACTAAGATTTTGAAACTACTAGTGAACTGAAAGATGTTATTACTTGGTAAACAATGTTACTATGAAATTGACAACAAATCATGATATAATTTAAGAAATAGAATGCTGCTAAGTGAAGTAAAGTATATTCAGGTTTGATTGTTAACAACCTGGTAGAATGAAATAATGATGTTTTAACTGAATATCTATCCTTAACTGATCTAGATCTCATTGACTATTGACTTCTACAGCCATTGGAGGTGAATATTTATCCAATTCGAAGGCTGGAGCCTTATCAACATTGTTCGATATCGGTGGTGTGTTTGGTGGCATCTTAGCAGGTCACATTTCTGACAACCTTAATGCACGGGCAATCACAGCTGCAAGTTTTATGTATTGTGCCATCCCTGCACTCTTCTTTTACCGAGTTTATGGGAGCACTTCCCTCTTCTGCAATGCTGCTCTCATGATCATTACAGGCTTGTTTGTGAATGGTCCTTATGCTCTTATCACAACAGCAGTTTCAGCTGACCTTGGCACCCATGGCTCCCTGAAGGGGAATTCCAGGGCCTTGGCTACTGTGACGGGTATCATCGACGGAACGGGATCAATGGGCGCAGCCATTGGACCACTCTTGACTGGATATCTGTCAACACAAAGCTGGAGTGCAGTATTCACTATGCTTATAGTAGCTGCGCTCATGTCTGGTCTGTTACTTACGAGGCTTGTGGCGGCTGAGGTTAAGGTGAAATTGAGGGCGAGGTCTTCTATGTTGGAGCAAAGTCTATTAGTCTAATATGATTCACATTACAGACTTTCACTGGAAGCATGATAGTGTTGGAACAAGGAGAGATTTGGTTGTCATTTATTTAGATGAATATTTAAATTTGTTAAGAGTATAAATTATAGAATAAATTCCAATTCCTTACGTTCTCAATTTTCTTCTTTCTCTTTGCCTTCGTGTCAAATGATACTTGTATGAATATTTGTACTATATTTTCTACTGAAAACATGTTCTGTAAAAGTTCAGTCTGAAAGTCTTACTCAGATTTCTGCTTTGCTCAAGCTTGTTCTTCGGTTATTTTCTTGGTCATGTAGGCAGTGCAATTAAAGAACAACAAAAGCCAAATTAGTGGGATTTATTTATGAGCGTCATTTTGTATTACGAGAATGTGAATATTTTACACCCTGGGTAGAAATACAAATGAACTAAATTTTATGATTTTCTATGATATTTATTGAATGCATCTTTCCCATAGTTTCATTAATGAATAAAGGCCTATGACAAAGCTTAAGAAGTGATCTTATGTTAAGTGTTATTTTGAGATTGTTGTAACTTTCAATGTTTATTTGTATCCCTTAAGATAAGATGTTTGTGTGTTGTTGACCCCTTGCATATCAATTGGATGGCAACATACATCTTTTTAACTTGGTCAAAATGCTTACATTTTTTTGTAAATAGCACTCAATTGATTCAACTATCCCTTCCAGAAATGTGTCAAGGAAGTTACAGTAAGGGTCTGTTTGGGGCAGCTGTAGTTGTTTGAAGAAGCAGCTGTGAAGTTGTTGCAAAAGTAATTATTTTTCAAAAAATTGTGGTGGCTATTATAAATTTGTTGTATTTTTAAAAATTCAAATTGTAGCTTTCTGCAGCGCAACAGTTTACAGATCAAGTTGGAAAAAAAGTTTTTTACCATAAAAATTCTTAAAAAGCAGCAAGAAAGCAGTTCTTCAAACAAAATTATGGTGACATCCATAAAGTAAAGCTGACATAAAGTTCTCCGAAATAGATCCTAAATATTCAATTGTTCAATAAGATGAGTGAAATAAATAATTACAAGTTATTTTTAATGTGATTTTTAAGTCAAAACAATTAAATTTTATGGATTATTATTATTGGTTTATTTATTTTTTAAATGTTAAAGCCAAAAAAAAA